AAAACTATTCTGCACTGCCTTAAAGGTAGAAAGAAATATAATATTAGTTGCATTATTGGGAAATTTCAAAGGTTGGAATCTCAGATTTTGGGGCGCCATTCCGACAAATCCACTTCTACAAATTCACAACAGGATCTTTGCAGCGCAATCAACTGGAAACAATAATGAGTGAGGAAGCTAGGGAACTGTTAAGCAAAAAACAGTGATGTTGGTTACAAAAGCTTCGTCGTGGCGAACTCCGCCTTAGTGCGTGTGGAAGCATCGGATGGCCCACAACGCGAACGTTGAACGAGCTGTGTTACGAGACGCTGCCTCATCCACCATACTCGCAGTCTCTTCACTATCACCTGTCATCTTTTTAGTCACTCCCATAAATTCTGTGTGAGGAATGGTTCAGGTTCGAAGCCAAGACTGAAAATGCCTTAAGCGACATCACCTCATCAAGAAATCTAGAATATTATGCCACTGGTATAAAGAAAGTTACGTTTTATTGGAAAAAAATGCGTACATCCCAACGGTTTTTATTTTTAATTTAAATATTAACATTGACCTGAGGTATTACACCTGAGAAATGCTTTGAATTGACCTTTAACTTCCGGAAAACCTTTTAGATATTGAGAAGCGATTCACTCCATGGCTGGAATCGCGCACGGATGTCGGCAAGAAAGTGACTGAGAAACAGTTTTTGTGCGCCAGTAATCCGCTCCGGATCACTTGAGTGCAAACTCAGTTTGTCCATACGCCACAATCGATGTTAAGCTGCTGGAAGAAAAAAATATCTGTTTCGTAATCACTTACCAACTATTGCGTGTCTGCCCTTTGCATTTTCTAAGTGTTGTAGGAGGGTCGTAGAGCAATACAACTTCATCCTTAAACCGGTCGACTTCTTCATTATTCTGCGGCTAGAAATTTTACGCAAAACCGTTCTCGACCGGCAAGCCATTTAATTGCGCCTTTCCTTGCCAATACAGATCCACGCCCATTAACGTTGCACAGATTTCTAGGGTTTCTCCACAAGGCTTGCTCATGCCTGGAAAATTGCACTTTGCCATTTCTGATATTTTTTGCAAAACTATGGACCGCAGGTGTTTGCGGTGGAGAACGAACGGGCTCCTACCCTGTCCGGAGGCTAACGCGTTCAAAACCACTCATGGCGCATAATTTGTTTCGCCTTTATTTCAGCTAACTTACTATCTAACAATTCAATCAGTAGTCACAAGTCAACGGGATCGATCTGGGTAGCCAAAAAATATGTAGCAGCAAAAGGTAGGAAATTCCAGCCCCCTCAGTTGTATCAGTGTTATCGAAAACCAAGTGTTGATTGAAAAAAATTTTGACTTCGACACTCAACTACCAGAGTGTAAAGTTAAATCACAGCTGGGTCGATTATAAGGGAAGCCTAAAAGAACTGCTTCTATGGCTTTACACAGTTTCAAAGCAAGTCATTCTAAAGAAGCTGAGATATGCGCATAATATTTCGCAGATATCTTGTCATCTTTGTGGCTGCATTTCATACCGTACCTTCTCATTAAAAAAAGGCAATTAACAAAATACAAAATGTCAGGTTATTTTAACCACAATGATGCTAATAACTCGAAAGACCGACTTTCTATAAACCTCGGCATAGATAGTTGATATATTTATTGATGTGATCTTATAAACTGATCTTCTTAAGCTGACGCGAGGTTGGTACAGATCTTCGTTGTCGTTGTCGTTGTTTTTGATGTTATTGATCGATAGTTGACGTTTCGGCGACTTTGACTTCCTCAGAGCCGTGATGTTACGTGCGGGACTCGCACGTAACTGGTCCCGCGTGACTGGTAACATCACGGCCCTGAGGAAGGCGAAGTCGCCGAAACGTCATCCATCGATCAATAACATCAAAAACAACGACAACGACAGCGAAGATCTGTACCAACCTCGCGTCAGCTTAAGAAGATCAGTTTATAAGATCGCATCAATAAATATATCAACTATCTGTGCCGAGGTTTATAGAAAGTCGGTCTTTCGAGTTATTAGCATCATCGTGGTTAAAATAACCTGACATTTTGTATTTTGTTTCTCTTCCTCTTAGCTAGTTATCTATCTACCAGTGCAATCAGCAATGACCTGCCAATGGGATTCACCTAGGAAACCAAAATCGGCATTAAACCTAGTCAAGCTGAAGCTGCATTTGTTGGTGAAGGCCACAAAATTTCGAGTTACGCATGACGTCGCTGAAATTGGTTCTGACCAGCTCGCAAATGACACGCCACGGAGATTGTTTATTACTCTTCACGCATACAAACAGAACCCTCTCCTCAGTCAGACCACTTCATGCGGTTTTCGAAGCCTCAGCTCGCATGAAATTCCATGTGATCACTGTACCAGGAGCAAAAAGAATAAAGATTAGCAACACCTGTATCACCTGTAGTCCCGTTGATTGTCAACTGACTCGAACACGCGCCAGTAAATCTTCCATTTTTACCAAACCGGACCAAACCAACACCGTGGTCGTGATGACCGGCATTAATACCACTCTATCCACCCACTGTCAGGTAGTCACCTGTATCACCTGTAGTCCCGTTGATCGTCGAGTGACTTGGGCGGGCGCCAGCAAATCTTTCATTTTTCCCTGCCGCGTGCAAGAGTAGCCCGTTGGGTTCTGCTGGCTCTAGAGACTCCTCGAGCATCGCATCTTTCTTCAAGGCTCTTTGTGAAAAACTCTGACCATCAGGTCGATGGTCCTCCTGCAGTGCGTTTAACATCTCGAGGAATCCAGTCACTAACGGCTCCTGTCCATCAGTTGTCGTTCATACGCATTACGTGTTCGGCTCACCTTATCATCGACTGCTTGACTTACTGAACGGCATCTTTGATTTTTGATCGTTGACGCAGGTCTGAGCTTCGGATCCCATCCCTTAGTTGTGTGAAACGGAATACTCCTAGCATCGTCGTTTTGACTGGGCGTTCGATAACGCTGAGTGACCTTTCATCCTGTTCACGCAGCTGTTCACCAGGTTTCTGACGCATACGTTAGTGCAGGAAGTACCGTTGAGTCGAAAAGGTGGGCACGGAGTCGGGTGTTTTTTGTTTTCTTCACTACATCCTCAATGCTCTTGAAAGCTTCCTATGCCGCTCGTTTTCTTCTGCTCAGGTCTGGAGCTAGGTAGTTCATCATATCGATTTCCCGATCACGATTGATACAACTGGAGCATTCGGAGATACTCGTTCCGTAGAGCGCGAAAGGGGCATGTGAAACCAATCCGTTCTTCATAAACATCGTTTTTGCGAGATTTAGTCGAAGACCAATCTTTCCACAGGCTTGATCAAACTCGTCAAGTATACGTTTTTCTTGGATAATGTTTGTGTTATATGGACGAAGTCAACAGCAAAGCGAAAATGGTGTAACTCCCAACCGTCGATTTTCACTCCCATATTATTCCATTCCAATTTTCGCATGACCTTCTTGAGGGTGGCGGTAAATGATTTTGGCGAGTTGGTATCACCTTGCCTATCCCCTCTTTTGACGTCAATGTTAATACCGTTGTAGAACGGTGATATCTTGGTTGTGAAATATTTGTACAGCTTACAAAGAATTTCTATGTACTAAGTAGGAACTCCTTGACTATCAAGGACTACCAAGACTGCTTCCATTTCAACTGAATCAGAGGCCTTTTGTAAAAAGACGAAAGTGAGACAGAGCGGTCTTTTGTACTCTCGGGATACTTCAGTGAGGCGTGTTACCGTGTGGATGTGGTCCATCGTACAAAATCCTTTTCGAAACACTGTTCGCTTACATGGTTGTTCTTCGTCTGGTGTTCTGTCAACCCTGTTTAAGATGACTCGAGTGAAAAGTTTGCAAACGACAGACCAGTATGCAGATTGAGCGATAGTTGCGGATATCGTGCAGGTCACCCTTCTTAAACAATAACACGGTCTTGCTGGTCCTCTACTGAGTAAAGACCTTGCATTCAGATAGGTAACGTGTGAAGAGCCGAGCCAGTGTGTTTACGAGGACTGGCGGAAGGTCCTTCAGGTGTTGTGGTCTTATCCTCTCCAGACCTGGTGCTGTTCGATTTTTCACCGACGTGATGGCTTGTCGGATTTCGGAAAGGAGAACTGGTGGCACAACATATCCATCCTCTTTTATTTCAAATAACGGAAGGTGGACATGGCTATCGAAGAGATCTGAGTAGTATTCGTGAATGATTTTCTCCATTGCCTTTCTGGACGATGTCACTGTTCCTTCTGGGCGCTGGAACGTAATCATCTTGGTCCTGTAATTGGCGGAGCTTTAGCGAGTTTAGCGAGTCCTTTTCCAAGTCCATGCACCATCGACCATTACTGCTGCTCTTCTCTCCTTAAGATTTTAAGATCTTCCTTTATCGCCTCTCTACATTGTTTGCAAGTTTGGACGTTAGTTCGTGGTTCCCTGCAGCTCGAGCGATTTCACGCTGGCCTATCAGCTCGAGTGTTCCTGGATACATACGTCTCTTGGCGACTCTCGAACTCCGAGCTTTTATAGCGCTTCTGTGAAGATGATGAATGAGCCAATTGTATTCTTCGTCGATGTTACCGCCATGATAAACTCAGATAGCCGCTTACCCTGTTCGTTCCATTCTAATCTGTGGGTCCCAATGTGACGTTCTTCAGACGTTCTTTTTGGTCCAATCTTGGCGTTGAAATCTCCAATCATGACCTTGAAGAATGTGTGGTCTTCTCTGTAAAACTTCTCCAAGTCCACATAGAACGCTTCGACTTCCTTTTCGTCGTAGTTTGATGTCGGTGCGTAAACAACGAAGATTGTCAAACTCGGAATTGATCTACATTTATTTAATCGCAAACGTCTGGTTCGGGTTGTAAGTTGTTCAAACTAATCGTTGTTCATAAACAAACTCATGTTTACGAGAACGCCGACGTTGCCGACTCCTCTACTCTCGCATGTTCTGAGGAGCAGTTCTTCGCTGGTGTCATGGACGGCGTTGAAAGGCTGGCGTCTTCTCGTCTCGGCCAGGCCGATGACGTCGTACCTTGTCCTTCTTGCCTGCATGAGCAAGTCTTCTATTGAGGACTCGGATGGAAGTGTGCGTGTATTGTAGGTACAGATCTTTACCATAATTCTTCGTGATTTAGGTAGCTTCCGTTGGCCCTGAAATTTTAGCAGCCTCTCCGTACTCGTCCTACCCAACGCTACAAAATTGTTGGCTCTTCAGGGGTCAGGGAAATGAGGCCCGTTTTCTTTATTGTGTTTAGCAAATTTCATGCACACGCATAGCTTGCTGAGCTCTGAACGCGGTGCTGGGTATACTCACAGGTAGCTTACCAGTCGCTCCCGGAGTGCACATTGAGCCTATTTGTTGTAGGCCACTCCTAACCGCCTCGCATATACTTCCCAGACACTTGATTGCAGGCTTTGGCCGAATTGACTCGTAGAATACAATCCGCATAAGCAACAACGTACCCACACACGCATACATGAATACGTCTAGCAAACACAGAAAATACGTGCCAAATCAGCGTAGCAGATACTGGGAGTCTATCCCATGGAACCACGTGTGTCTCAGGGAAGCAAAGGTGGCTTTGGTCTGCAATTAACCCCCTAATCGCCACCTGGGGACACGTCACGTAGCTTCGCGACTAAACGGCTCGAGATCCCTCATATGAGGGAGGCCCGCGAAAGACTAGCATACGCCAGCTGAATAGCGTGACTATTATTATCTGCGATGTAAAGGCTTATTCATGAAATTTTTTCGGCGTAGGCTTTGTCCTCCACTCGTCAATTGTCCATCTCGTCAACTCGCACTAAATCCTATTCCCTGGAACTAGGGAGATGACTTATGCGGAGACTGACCACATTCTGGCAAACGGAAGATGGTGCTTCCCTGGTGGTCCTTGACAGATCGATAGTGCTATCGTACTGTAATTGTTCCTATCACCCTCTCTTCGCGCGAAAATTTAATTCAACCGCAAGCTGGAAAAGAATTCTTTTCATCGAAAACGAGGAAAAACTCTACCTGTATACTGCGAGAACATTCTGAATGAAGTCCTATCCAAACGTAACCGGCAGATTAAAGGAGAGCCGACCGAAGACTACGAGCTGCTTGTCGAAGGACTGAAAACTTGTGCCGCATTCGCCTCACTTCCTCTATCAAAAAAATCGGATCGCATTCCCATCACCGCTAAGGAGTTGCTCGTGAAGAAAAGAAAAACCAAAGCATTACCTTACTGAAACACGTTTAAGATGATTAGTAATAAATGCCAGTTGTAGAAGAGCTTTGCTGAAAGATCTAAATCGCTACAGACAGATCAGACTATAGGAGCACAGAAGAAAACCAGTCCTGTGGGAGTGTAGTAAATTTTAGTTCGAAATCTTTTTTGTTATGTTTTTACGTTTTCTGGGCACCTAGGAAAGTGTTTGGTTTCAATTTAAAATGCTGAGTGTTGCTGGTTTAATAGTGGCTCGTCCGAAAATGGTCCGCGCTTTTAATTGAATTGCAGACACAAATCTTCGATTTAATCTCGGTAGAAAATCTGTGTTCGACAAGATATATAACGATAAAAGGAGATCTGGGAAAACAGCTCTTTGCGGGGAAACTCACCAGGATGGCGCGCTCGCACTAAAATTGAATCGTGCATTCTTTAGAGTGTGGCAACGTGCCAATGAAAATAAACAGATATGGTCCTGAAAATTTGACGGCATAAAAAGATTGTAAGATGAAAACTTGGCAAAGTAGTTATCTAGGTACACATGGGGTATAAAGGCAGGAAGGTAATGATTTGGGTGTGGTAGACACGATCCCTCTGCGGGAACCAAAAACATCGACGAGCAGAACTGCTGACGCATTGCAAGTAAAATTTTAGGGCCAGGAAGATCTGATTCATTGCGAGACCAAGATGCCACAACGAGAAGAGGAACAACTGTGGATCATAGACAAATCGAAACGTTAGCCGAATAAAGATCTCGTATCAGCTCGTGTAAGCTTAACAATATAAACAAATGTTGATTATTATAGTACCGAAGTTAAACGGCGGTCGGTTTCAAAATAAACAGGAACGACGAATGGCCCCATATCACTCGTGATTTTATTTATTTTACAACTTCACGACCCACCATCACATCCACTGCGCGGATCCCAGCACTTCTTACTTCGCTTCGCTCTCCTCGCTTTTATCGCCCACAGTGGTCTTCGAGTGTTCCCGCGCGTTGCTTCGGCTGTTTCTTCAGAATTTCGTCTTCCTGGCGAAAGCCGCAGAATACCAATCAAGAAGATTCTCCTTAAAATATTGGCTATTGCTGGCCTTAGACATTGATACATGGGTTGAAGGAGAGCGTTATCACAAGTGCTGTGGTGGCTTGTCTCAGATTGATATTCTGATCTGAATGTAGTTCATTTCCACGGTGTATGAACCAAATACGGTTGACCTGACTCTCATAAGCAAAACGTTTATGGACACGCGGCTCTCAAGAGAGAAACACTCGAAAGAGTCGAAAATTATCCAACCATTTGTGCAGGAAAAGAATACCGGCGCAAAGATATAAGATTTTCGGAATCTACGTTTTACAGAAATAAATAGAATAGCACTCGTTTTCAACTTATAATTCAAGTGCCATTCCGTAATCGGTAAAGATTTGAGCAGTAAACAGGTTCTAAACTGCCGATAGAATTGAACAATGTCTACGGTGTGTGGCGTCCACAGAGTATGGTTTCAGTGAGAATTTTCTTGATTTCAGGTGACCAGTCATCCAATCCTCTGTGCGGATCCTAGCACTTCTCGCATTCGATTCGCTTTCCTAACACTCATCTTCTGCAATGGTCTTCGAACATTTTGCCTGTTGTTTTAGCTGCTTCATTTTCATTATGAAAGTCGTAGAATGCTGATGGTGTCAAATCTCTTTGCGTTCTTGGAGACAACCAGGCTGAGGCGTTCCCACATGGATTGTAGGAGAGCACTGTGGCGGCGATCGAACTTGCTCCTTGGCTTCCTTACCGACTGCATCACTAGTCACTGCAATATTCGTACCTCGTTTTTAGCAAGCAATATTCACTGAGAATACTGCCCACTAAAATCTTCTGGCGCGGTCGTTCACGTGTAGTGGATGTCTTTCGCTGAGATATTTAGAAATTTGTAGCCAATTTCGTAAAAACTTCATAAACGAAGTGTCGTCGTCTAAATAACATTTCTGTCACCTGACGAGTTGTACTTCACATTTTTTAAAGAGACGAAAGAAAAACGTGGTGCGAAATGGATTTCCATTATTTAACGCGTTCATTGTAAGTCCTTTGTTGTGTCAATAAATGTTCGATATTTCGTGGAACCCAATATTTCGTGCTTTAATTTGACCGCGATGAGCCTCTGGCTTTCTTCAGGAAGCTAATCATTTTTCTCGTTTTGTTTTTTCCATTGAGGTTGGTGTTGGTGTTGGTATGCAAACAATGTTTCAGGAACATTGTAATAAAAATTCTTTTATCAGAACAATGAGAGGAAAGAGTGGAACGAAAACCAAGTTGGCGGTTCTGTGCTGCGAAGCTCGCTAAGAATACGCGAGCGGCGATTGGCAAAATTCGCGAATACTTTAGGAAGTGGTAAGAAAATCACTCGAATAGCTTAGAGAAAAAGAAGCAAATCATTCTTTGATTTTAGGAAAGGAAATTAAAAAGGATGAGAATGGGAAAGACACAAAAGGACGAGAGAAAAGACGTACCAACTCAGATCGATCATTGACGTCACGCCGATCGGTGAGTAAAAGTAATGGATCCAATTTGAAATAAGACCGTGTCGTCAGCCATACTCAGAAAAGGGCATGGAATTGTCGTGCAATCTGCGTGTGTTTGCCAGGAAAGAGACTTTCTATTATTTGTCGTTCTTCTTTTCTTCGTTGAATTTGGTGTTGTGAGTGGCAAAGAGATTGAGCAATCCGAGATTTAGCATATCGAAGCACGATGATTTCCCTCAAGTGTCGTTCGTATTCACTTTTGCCAACTGGCGTTACGATTTTTTGAAGGTGGAATTTTTTAAAATTGGTCAGCTACTTTTTTCGAAAGCACAAACAAGGCTGTTACATTGTTTATTGACAAAAGCTAACTTTTCCGCTAATTTCGCCTTCTTCAAAGCCAGGATAGTTCTATTTAAGCGCACCCTATTCAATGAAACACGCCCGTAAGCTCAATAAAGAACCAATGTCACCTAATTTTCAACTGCGTTGGGTATGAAAGAGCTTCTTCAAACACTTAACGCTTTCTATGACTCTTCTACTGAGTGTTGCACGTGGAACCCAACCGCACAGAGTTCGCATGGATCGAAAAATGAGCCGTTCTTACGTAAAAATATCGCTCTAAGATATTGTGTAAATTTTGCCCAATGATGAGGTATTTCTCCCTTCAGCTCATTTTTCGATTTCTAGAATTTATCCAGAATTATTTGACGGTTTTTTGCGCTGAATAGTGGAGCTTCTCTTTCAATTAACCCTTACCGTCTAGGTCTTCTTTTAAACGCTGGCATTGTGGTGGTCCACCAGTTTCGCTAACATATTCGTCCGGTATGTCCTATAAGAAATCAGGTACATCGTGGCCAAACTTATGTAATCGCTCTCTTTATCATTCGGGGACATTATACAATTCTGCGCTGTGTAATAGGCCGTCACACAAACGGATACCATCTAGGATCGAAACCTCCTTAAATTTTCTGAATATCAGTGTTTTAAACGAATTTAAATTTTCAATTACCACGCTGCATTAGAGTCTCACTAACCTACCAGTGATTCAAACCGTCACTGAAAGTTTTGTGTTCAGAGCCCCAGTAGTGGAACTGAAGTCTGCGATGAACAACCGTCTTCGAATAGGCAGTCAATGGAAATAACGCGGCAACGCCCTCATTCATTGCAACTTGGCGCTTCTTCACAAGAGGACACGAAACCGTCAGTTGCAAAGTCGCCTCATACGAACAAAAAGTGAGCAGCACTGTAGTGTTTTTATAAAATGTAAGTGTTGTGATGACTATAATAACTTTGCAATAATAGTTATTTCTAGGCGGACCATGACAAGAGCGCTACCTTCTTTTACAAATCACCTTAGTCCATCCAACAAACGAAGAGGGTCCGGATATGATGTTTGTGAGTAGAAACTACATTGACACGGTTCTATGAAAATAGTAGCTTTTCTTTAAAAATGAGAATGACGTAAAGTATGAAGAGAGCTATGATTCTGTGGTTATAAAGTCTGATAATGAGACGTTCCAACCTCGACCCAACGCAGAAGAAAACATCAAGCCCATGCGATGGGACGATATATTAGGCGAAATCGATAGAGAAATAGGTGCGTCTTAGAATAATGCTAGTACTTTATCTTTATATCCCTTGCTTTTGTTCGGTGTTCAAAGTGTCTTTCTCTGTAAAGCGTGCTTTCATCCGACTTATTCGGTAGCGAAGAATGATTAGTGTTAATACCAGAAGATGAAGATAAAAGAAGGAAAGTGTGAGAGACAAATGACGTGTTGAAGAAATCCTTGGGTGGGAAGAATAGTTTTCAATAAAACACACCAAATTCTAAAAGCATACGAGAACCATACCAATTAAGCGGTGCTTGTAGAGGATAGAGTTAGAACTTTCCCAGTATTGCTGTCCTTCTGCAAATGCTTATTTCTCAATGCAAAAAAGGTTAAAAAGGATGAGGTGATTCTAAATACCACGGACAGAAAAGAGCTGTACTTTGGATGCGGCCTTCTTCAACGTACCACGGATTTAGCTACACCTCTAACGAACAAGGAAAGCAAAATCATCTGGTTACCTTGCATCGCCACCTAACGACATGTGCTCAAATCTTTTGAAAGAATAATTTCTAATGTTTCAAGAAAATATGCATTGTGCCACGAATGGGTTTAAATCAGAAATCCGAAAATACAGTATTTTAAGGACTTCTAGGCAGCCGTGTTCGATGTCGTTTCGTCGAATTCAGTCGAATTCATCATCGTTGAACGTCTGCGAACATTTGCGTGCTGGTTCGACTGCTGCTTAAAGTTTTGTCTTCGTTACGAATATCGTTAAGCGGTGGTCGAATACATTTTTTCTAGAATCTTGGCAGAGCCGTGCTAAATGTTTCTAAGTAGGTCACAGGGAGTTAACTGAGTCCGGATCGATGTGATTTCGATTTGCCGGCATTGGTGAGAAGAGAGAGGAGAACCTGGGAAGGGTCGAACCAGCACCGTAGTTGTGAAGAACGGCACCACTACCACTGCGTTGCTTGCCTATGTGCACAATTGATATCTAGTGAAGTAACCTAATGCGGATAAAAAAAATCGTCTTTTACACATTCCATTATTAATTAATGCTTAAGAGACAACATTCTTGCTTGTTCGGTTACTTATTAAACCTACCGTAACAGATATGAAAAAAGATATTTGTGATGCTGAGATATTTGCAAAACTCCGGACCGCAGGTGTTTGCAGTGGCGAACGAAAGCGCTATTCTCTTTTCCGCGTAGTAACACGTTCACCACCCCACCACGCGGGTCCTTCGTTTCGCCTGTCTGTTAGCTAGTTCTATTGATCATTTACCATCAGCAATCACCCGTCAGCGGTATTGGTCTGAGGAGTCCAAATCGGTAATGAACCCAGTTAAGCCGAGGCTTCAGTTATAATCACAAAATAGAACTAGCTGAGATACAGGCGAATCGAAGGACCTGCATGGCGTGGTGGTGAACGCGTTGCTCCCCGGAAAGGACAATAGCGCGTTCGTTCCCCACCGCAGATACCTGCAGTCCGGAGTTTTGCAAATATCTCAGCATCATTAAAGTTATATTTCGCAATATATATCCTGCCGTTTAAAAGAGTAGGCAGTAAATAATAAGTTAGAATTGAAAGAATATTACTGTCTTCTTTCTGGTAACGATTGAATTTCCATGAATCAATTTATCCAACTTTTTGAAGCCTATTAATACATGATGGTTTGAGGTTATTGTGGCATACTCTTCTTGCACAAATCAAAGCATAGCGTAGTTTTGGACATTAAGAGTATTCCATAGACTTACCCTACAACCTGCTCGTCATCTGTTCTTGGCTAGGAGATGTTCCTGGGCGTCGAACTACGATATATAGCGAAAATTTCACTTGGCTGGCATGCTTTCCCTGGCTAAGAAGGAGTCCGGCGTTTTCATCTGGAAGTCCAGCTAAGGATAAATCAATACTCAAATTTACCACCGGCGTGGCATCAAACTAGACGTATGGTGGCAAATCCTTCTTCTATTCACAAAGGCAGCCGCTGCCTAAGGTGGTGACGACCTGAGAAACGTTTTTGCTAGGGCGAATTTGGCACTGTTGGAAACCAGAATGGCTAAATCAGCGTCTAACCAACAGAGTAGAAAATATGCTGGTGCCCGCACAACTAGTGGAGGCCGGCCATTTATGTATTTAAGTAAGTAATGGCATACTTTTGCAATGGTTAGTTTGTTATCCCAGCAAATGAGGTTGTGAAATATTCGTAATCATAGGACTGCACTCGTAAGAAGTTTTTTTCGTGATTTTTGTTAGCGAAGAAGTTATTCTACAATGATACAATTTCTTATTCGCCGTATTTTAGCCAAACCAAGGCCACCACGTTCGACATCGAAGAATAACAACAAAACTGCTGATTCATCAGAATCTCAAGCAGTGCTCGACGAATCCTACGAGGACTTGCTTTCTATTGAAAAGGTACGTTTTGAAAGATCACGTCATAGTCATGTAAGTTATTCGAATAGTGTAAAAAGTGTGTAGTTTGTTTCTTACATCGATACTCAACATTTTTGACGCCAGTCGTCTCTAAATAACTGAGATCTTCGCCAACATTGTATGGTGTTAGAGAGTTCATAAATTTCAGCCACGCTCCATTTTTGAGAGTCTCTCCTTCACGTACACCACGACGGTGACAATGGAAAATGGTCAGTAGATTATAATCTGGAACCGGCTCATTTGTTAAAGAGCTCAGTAGTAATGAAGTAAATCTCTTAACTGTTTTCAAAAACGTGACTTAAGGAATTTAGATTAAAATTTCTGACATCTCTGCAATTGCCGCCATATGCCGACTGGTACATATTATCAGTCTCCTAAAATATTGTTCGCTACAAAGCATTATTCGAGCATAAACGTGAGACCATTTCTGGTGTCCCGGAAAAGAATGAGTTTGAAAACGGAATGATCTAAGGAATTTCCATTTTGGTGAAAATTTTGGAGAAATTTTAGCTGGTGACGAATCAGTTAAAGAGGAAAGTTTTGAACTGTCAGCAGTGCCTGAAGAGGTAATTTTGTGGCAGGAAGTCGCAGAAAGTAGAGGAGACGATGTGAATTCTCTTGAGTGGATGAAAAAAATGGTATAGACTTTCATCGTTTACACTTTTCAGTCCATAAAACTATAGGAATGGATTGGTCTTTTGTGGCCTACTTATGCTCAACGGGGAGAATATCTCAGTATGGTCCAGTTTCGTCTATCCAGGTTGAGAAATCAACATGAAGAACGACTTAGCTCCATAGCTGAGAAGGAAGCGAGCGGTGTGAAAAATATCGAGGATTTAATGAAAAGAGCAAAGAAAACCCTTCTCCGTGTTCACCTCCTCGTCTGTGCGATTTTTCCTTCTTCAAAGTATGCGCGAGAAACCTGGTAGCATTTTTAGCAGGACAGAGTATCACTTAGTGTTGAATAAAAAGCAGTGGAAGGCACAATGTTAGGAGTATCCCGTATTACCCAAGTGAGAAAAGCCATCCAGAGCTCAGAGCTAAATGGACGGTCAAAAATCAAAGATGCCGTTCTACTGTCGAAGATAAGGCGTGGCAGATACGTAGGGCGTATGAAAGACAACAGATGAACCAACGCCATTAGTGACTGAATTTCTTGGGATGTCAAACGTAGGGCAGGAAGACCACAAAACCGACCCAGTGGTTAAAGTTCTTTACGAAAACAATTTTGAATATTCTGGAGGTTGGTCATTCATCTTTCACAGGTTGCTCTTGACAATCCTCCGTTGAGCGACATCTCATCGGCTAGTGATGGAAAGCTCTTGTTCACAGCTGCTGACAAGCTTCATGAGTTTGTTTACGAGGTTGGTGGAAGGCTTTATTTTTCAGGAAACCAACTCATTACGAAAGCTCTGAAACTTTGCGTTTGCAATCATGCTGTCGTTTCCATCGCAATTGCAGCTTGAAAAAAAATGGTGCAACTTTTACTTGGCATTTCCAGGGTGTAGGTATTTGTATTAGCATTAAAACCATCCAGTTCACTGTTTCCTTCAGCGAGTGCTAAAGCCTAAATTAGATGAAACCATGAATAATTTTGCAAACTAGTTTAATTTTGTGCGAACCGTCTTCCCGTCTACTGTGTGGATCCCAGCACTTCTCACATTCGATCCTTTTCCTGGCATTCATCTTCCACTAAGGTGTACCAAATTTTACGTGTGGGCTTCAACTGCTGCTTTGGAATTTTTATTACATTTTGAATATAATAGAACGCCGGTCGAGTCGATTCTCACTGGAGTCTTGAGATGGCCGGGCTAGAGCGTTCCAAGTCCAGTACCAATTTCCCAGTCGCAGGGGGATGATAGGCTTGATGACCTCGGAATCGGACCAAACCAACACCGTGGTCGTGATGACCGGCATTAATACCACTCTATCCACCCACTGTCAGGTAGTCACCTGTATCACCTGTAGTCCCGTTGATCGTCGAGTGACTTGGGCGGGCGCCAGCAAATCTTTCATTTTTCCCTGCCGCGTGCAAGAGTAGCCCAGTGGGTTCTGCTCGCTCTAGAGACTCGTCGAGCATCACATCTTTCTTCAAGGCTCTTTGTGAAAAACTCTGATCATCGGGTCGGTGGTCTTACTGCAGCACGTTTGAAATCCCGAGAAATCCAGTCACTAACGGCTCTAGTCCATCGGTTATCGTTCATACCCATTAGGTGTCCGACCCATCTCAACTTCGATTGTTTGGCATACAGAACGGCATCTTTGATTCTTGATCGTTGACGCAGATCGGAGCTTCGGTTTCCATCCCCTATTTGTGTGGAGCGTGATACTCCTAGCATCATCCTTTCGACTGTGCGTTCGATAACGCTGAGTGACCTTTCATCCTGCTTACGCAGCGACCAGGTTTCTGACGCATACGTTAGGGCAGGAAGTACCGTTGAGTCGAAAAAATAGGCACGGAGTCGTGTGTTCTTTGTTTTCTTCACTACATCCTCGTTGCTCTTGGCTCCTTAAGTTGCTCGTTTCTTTCTGCTCAGCTCTAGAGCTAGGTCGTTCATTATATTGATGTCCCGACCTAAATAGATATAACTGGAGCATTCGGAGATATTCGTTCCGTTGAGCGTGAATGGGGCCTGCCCCATTCACATCAGGTAATATTGCACGTAATACGTATCTGCTACATACTTAAAAAATGATTAGTCTACGAGTGGTCGTATGATATTCCAACCTTTACTTCACTTAGGTTTTTACAACTGATTCACAATGTTTATCGCGGGGGGCTCGAAGCAAATCGGCTGTATTTTCTTGTGTCAGTTCTTTTGTTCTTGTTTTCTGCCGCAATTAAAACTGCTTGTTCAAAAATTCATGACGGTTTTGTACTAGAATTTCGTAATCTGTACCAAGCACTCTGGAATGGAAAAGTCTGATGTGAAGTTTTCCATCACTAATTACCTTATCATGACGGTTGGTCATAGTAGTACCATCTTCGCTCATCAGGGTTGGCAGCAGAACATTATGGTCGTGCAAATCTCGAAAACTTCTCTAAACAAGTCTTTTGAGTTACTCCCAATAGCTTTTTCTGTCTGTACGGGTGTAATTGTTTTTGGAAAGTTCTTCTTAAGCGGGCGTTTACTTTCGGTTGTGTTCGATCTATTGCACTAAGGTCAACCTTTTGTTTCTTTTTTCCCGTTTTTGAACAACTTTTTTTGTGATAAAAAAGCGATCTAAACTTGTTGTTTAGGGAACTTGGTTGATACAAGTTTCAAATCCGTCAATAAGCTTCCTGTAATTCTTGTCTTTTTTTGTCTTTGTTCGCTTCGTTTTGGTCCCACTCACCTCGATCTTCCAACCACATGACAAAAGGCTTTCATTGGAAATGTTCTCCTTATACTCGACTTGTCTTATTTTTGTTGGGAGATGATTATCGTTATTTCTGAGCCTACGAGTGATTTTAATCTTCACCTGTAGCATGCGGTGATCAGATCCAGTGCGGAATAATGACACCCATTGGTTCAAAAGAGGTGCTATGTTATTTGCGAGTTCGTGGTTATTCTTCCGATGAGCGTGCCTTTAGGAGACTCAGATGTCCAGCGGGAATTTTCTTTTCGAGAAATGAACTTACGTAAAGTTATGCTGTGGAGGGGACTGCGGCAAGACGGTTTCTATTGTCATTGCATACTTCTAATTTATACCACTTTTTCTATTCATTTTTGTTATCCCTTCCTTATCTGGAATTGAAGTCTCCAACAAAGAATTTATACAAATACACATGCACTATTGCTCGTGTGGCGCAGTGGTGGGAGGTGTCGTGCAACACACACATGGAATCGGCCCACTTATCCAAGGCCCACCAGGCCTTCAATCCGTCCGGAGTCGGCATATTGGTACCAGACTTGTCTGTGAGGATGGCTGCACTGGCTGGATACATCGGTTGGCCATCGCGATTCATTGTAAAGGATGAATGTGCATTTCGTCACCTCCAACGATGCTTGGTGAAGTCGTTTGCATTGCGCACCCTTCAGAGATTGGTCAACTCTGAGAGCTTTATCCTTTATCCTCTATACATCCATTGTGCTTGTTGGTGACTAGCAGTTAATGATGCTAATTCTTCCACGCGAAAGCTAAGGGACTAGGAATGGTTAAGGAAGGTGGTAAGAGACGGCGACTAAAGGAACGCTTCTACTAGACTCGATTAGGGGCTCGAGGAAACCACAAATAACTCAGCCTTCGCAGTATCCAAGGCATTGAGAGATTTCGCCTACGATGTCGGGCGTTGAGAAAACAGGAGACAAGCGGTCCAGTCTCAGGTTCCACCGACCATTTCAGTTATTTTGAAACAAATTAAATGTTAACAACCTCGTCAACGCTGCTATTGAGCTCTTCAATTAAGCAGAAAAAAGTGTATTTCATGATCTGCTGAACGTATTTTTCTTTAAGGCCAATGCCGGATGGTTTGAAGGGGGTCGGAAATGCCGTATCGTCAACAAATCGATGACACTTCCTAGTACTCTAGTTCCATTTCTANTCGTCACCTCCAACGATGCTTGGTGAAGTCGTTTGCATTGCGCACCCTTCAGAGATTGGTCAACTCTGAGAGCTTTATCCTTTATCCTCTATACATCCATTGTGCTTGTTGGTGACTAGCAGTTAATGATGCTAATTCTTCCACGCGAAAGCTAAGGGACTAGGAATGGTTAAGGAAGGTGGTAAGAGACGGCGACTAAAGGAACGCTTCTACTAGACTCGATTAGGGGCTCGAGGAAACCACAAATAACTCAGCCTTCGCAGTATCCAAGGCATTGAGAGATTTCGCCTACGATGTCGGGCGTTGAGAAAACAGGAGACAAGCGGTCCAGTCTCAGGTTCCACCGACCATTTCAGTTATTTTGAAACAAATTAAATGTTAACAACCTCGTCAACGCTGCTATTGAGCTCTTCAATTAAGCAGAAAAAAGTGTATTTCATGATCTGCTGAACGTATTTTTCTTTAAGGCCAATGCCGGATGGTTTGAAGGGGGTCGGAAATGCCGTATCGTCAACAAATCGATGACACTTCCTAGTACTCTAGTTCCATTTCTAGGTTCCAGAAATCGTAAGTTGCATACTTTATATACTTCAACTTTGATATGATCACTTGTCAACCGCTTTAGAACTCGGGTGCGCATTTGTAGATCATAAAAAAATCGAATTTGTGGATTACATGGAACTACAATCTCAGCTTAAGGCAAACATTTATTGTATGGATTTCTACCGTGTTCTGGTTGTTTCTGAATGTTATTCCGACCTCGCACGAATGCTAGCAGTAGATTCAGAAGTTCGGCGACTATCAGGTCTTCTCATATGCTCTGTTCCATAATGTTTTCTGTTTTTAGTAGCTGTGAAGCACTTGTAAAAACAATTTGTGTGCTTCACCCAGCGATTTTTTAGCCGCTTGATTGGTTGTTTAATTCCACATCCTTTTCTGAGTCTTCTTTTATATACCTTATACAAACATAGATTGCAGGGAATGCACCACTACTTTCGTAAAGTCGCTTTCCTGGATGCTTAAAGTCTAGCAATTTGTTCTTCTGAAGTGTTTCTTGCTTTTTGCTCTTGGTTATAACTTTCCACAATAGTAGTTGTCGCGTATTCTCCACAATAGTGGTTGTCGGCTGCGGTTCACTGGCATCATCGATGTGAATTCAGCTTCTGTATTTTATTTCGTTTTTTTCCTTGTTGTTTTATTTTGTTCTAATTTACTAGCGAATTTTTACAACAAGTCGGGTTGTTTGTTGTACTTAATGCCTTGGTTGTTTTATTTTACTGTTTTGAAGGCGTACTTAAGTATTGCAGTGATCAGAGATAATTTTCTGCGTAGGTTTTCCGCCGACTTTGCGACCAGTGGGTACCAGTCGATAAAATTTTACATGAATGCTTTGACGGCTGGCTATGCGAGAGATGTAGAACCCAGATTGTTCTTCATTTTTTCGCGATCGTTATCCATGGTGTTGGCGTGGGTCATTCTGCGATAAAAGGGGTAAGGGATAAAATTGTCTGAGTTTGTCATTCCCTGAGAAATGCGCCAAGCATTCGAGTATCGTTGGAGGTGATTGAATGCATATATGATCTTTACAATGATTCGCTGTGGCCGACCAATGTATCGAGCCAGTGTTGAGCGTCGAGGTATCCTCCGAGACGAGTCTGGTTCCAATATGCCGACCCAGGAAGGATTGAAGGCCTGGTGGGCGTTGGATACGTGAATCGATCCCATGTGTGTGTTGCACGGCGCCTCCGAACACTGCGCCACATGCACCACAATAGATTTGCATTTGCATAAATTCATTGCTAGATACTTCAGTGCTAAATTAGAAAAGGCTAACAAAAATGAGTAGAAAAAGTGGTATAAATTAGGAGTATGCAATGACAATAGAAACCGTCTTACCGCAGTTCCCTCCACAACATAACTTTACGCAAGTTCATTTCTCGAAAAAAAAACATTCCCGCTGGACATCTGAGTCTCCTAAAGGCACGCTCATAGGAAAATTAACCACGAACTCGCAAATAAGATAGCACCTCTTTGGAGCCTATGGGTGTTATTACTCTCTAGTGGATCTGATCACCGTACCCGTCTACGCATGTAAACCCGATTATAAATGGAGTGGTCGTTGAGGAAAAGAACCTATGTATAAACAGGAAGCATTTGCCTTATTTCTCTTCACCTAAGTGAACAAATGGGTTGACGTGACTCGACAATGTTCCTATTTCTACGCGTAGTACTTTTGAAAGTCGTCGAACCATTTTGTGCAGACCTGCTTCAATTAGCGTCTTTGGGTAGTTATCACTGTCGATAATGCACCCTCTTTAAAACTCTCGCCTCCAGATAGTGCATCAAAAGTATTCAATGACTTTTTAAACGAATGCAAAGTTATAAGCTGGTTAAAGCGTGTGAAAGTGACTAAACTCTGAGGGGTGGGCTACTCATTAACAACTGGTATTCCTAACAATCGTCGGAGTTCTGACTAATACAGTAATGAGAGGGTTGACAACAAATGGTAGAATGGAGGCAAATAGTTGAACTGCATTCGCCTCTTTCAGGCACAGGAGCTGCTCACTAGACTCGCTTGGCGCTGGGCGAAGATGATGAACACAACACTTTTGCTACGATGCATTTTTCACATTTTCTAGTGAGAACGTTGTCACGGGTAACACGTATTGCTCTCCTGTGGCAAATGTTCAGTAGCTGAGTTTCTAGATGATGGTGATAACGAATAAATTAGTGCAGCCTAGCTTCTGCTGATCTAGAAAACATCGAATTATTGATCGACGCGAAAGTTGATAGAAAGTCAGTACAGGGATTTGCCACAAGGTGGCAATGTACGTGTATTTCCAGCTGCCGTCTTGGGTAAGCCAGAATCTGTTTCGAGGTCATGTAAGGAATCCTTCATGCGTCTAAATATAATTAGCAGCTAAGCATTTTTCGAGAACCACATTTTAAAGCCGCACTATCGAATATGAAACCAAGTTCTAGTAGAAAAACTTATAGAACCTAAAAGTAGTTCTCGGTTTTCTCTTTAGGAGTAAAGACTAGGAGTAATGAAGTAATTTTGTAACCTACCTCTCCAGGAATAAAGACTAGGGGTAACGAATTAATTCAGTAACTCACAACTGCCTTCTTACTCACATATACTTTTCAGCTCGCCGTTTTTCTGCCGTTTCAACTTCACGCTCCTCCACACTTCGACCATGACAACATGATATCGGCGCTAATTGCTTAGTGTGGCCCAATTTGCTTTTAACAACCACAAATTCGTTAATTGTTCGAAGGCTAACACTTGTACTAACAGCAGTGGTACATTATTTCGTATTTGCTATACTACGAACGCAAAACCATATTCGGTCAGATCCCGAGACTACCTCCAATTGTGTTTCATATGACGATACTGTATTATTATGACCTGTCTTCTATCCTCCTAACAGTTCACCACCTCATCGTGGCTGGGGGGGTGCTCTTGGGTGTGGGGTTGCGATGTGCAAGGGGTGAGGGGGATTTATCACCCCAACAGGGCCTCCTAAGTTGAGAAGCAGACCGGCTTTCCCATCAGAAAGCCCAATTAAGAGTAAACCAATATTAAGATGCGTCACCATCCAGGTGCCAAACTAGTCGGAACTAAACGGATGGCAAATCTCCGTCTGATCCACAAGCAGCGATTGCCCGAGGTCGTGACGACAACTATTGAGCTAACAACCGCACAACGATTGACGGGCCGTCTAGGTATCCAATTATTCACGACAACCTTTTCAGCTTCTGCGAAGTCATTGTGGTGTAGAGCCGTTCCATGACAACACCCGACCGTGTGGTAGACAGTGTGTACACTCAAATGCGGAAAAATTGGGATGCGTAACAGCCCAATTCAGCATTGTCGCCGGACCTCTCATCTGCTGAATACCAATTATTAGCAGCATCAGCTCTCACTACTGAGTCTAGAACGGAAACGCTTTCGGTGGATTCCTGATCGCTGAAGTCCCAGATCGTTCCCTTGTGGAACAAGTTTTGCACCTCTTTAGCAAAAACCTGCTGCTTTTAGTACTTGTTATTCCCAGTGTGTAGGTTTGACTTAAGTCTACTGTAAGCTGATATATATGGAACTCGTTGTTATGAATAGGTTGTTGAGCTCCATTTTAGCCTCGTAAAACCTTTCAGTTTAGAAGAATTCTGTTTTCTCAGGTGTCCCCACTACAGTTTTATCGTTTAATCCTAAGTTAGTGTAAAGATAGATGTGTAAAGACTCCTAAACGCGAGAATAATTTGGAAACTGCGGTTATATATAGAGCCACGAGCATAACTGAAGGCTACAATTAAGTTGCGGATTCCGATTTTGTGTAATATTTGATTTTCTTCGTATTTTTGTTGAGCAAACGCGAGGTGTTACTATTCTTTGTTCACGATTAAGCTGACGTTTCGGCGAATTTCGCCTTCTTCAGAGCCTGGAAAGGTCAAGTTGATAGCAACTCACCCGGCCAGACGCCTCCATAACCAAACAAAGAAACTCCAAACCAAGATTTCAATCACTTTGAACACAGCTCTGCACACTCACCGCTTTCTATGAGGTTTCCACTAAGTATGTCACGTAAAGACCAACCGCACAGAAATCACGTGGGAGTATAATGTGCCCCTCACATCAGAAAAGCAGTTTTATATACTGCCCTATATCACGCTTGATAATGAGGCATTCTTCCCTGCGGTTCATTTTCGGATTTCTGGAATTAATCCAGAGTGCNGATTTTCTTCGTATTTTTGTTGAGCAAACGCGAGGTGTTACTATTCTTTGTTCACGATTAAGCTGACGTTTCGGCGAATTTCGCCTTCTTCAGAGCCTGGAAAGGTCAAGTTGATAGCAACTCACCCGGCCAGACGCCTCCATAACCAAACAAAGAAACTCCAAACCAAGATTTCAATCACTTTGAACACAGCTCTGCACACTCACCGCTTTCTATGAGGTTTCCACTAAGTATGTCACGTAAAGACCAACCGCACAGAAATCACGTGGGAGTATAATGTGCCCCTCACATCAGAAAAGCAGTTTTATATACTGCCCTATATCACGCTTGATAATGAGGCATTCTTCCCTGCGGTTCATTTTCGGATTTCTGGAATTAATCCAGAGTGCCTCGAGAGACAAAAGATCGTCTTAGCTCTACAGTCAATACACATTCTCCGCCGCTGTCTAAAACATCAAGTCGTTCCGAACTTCATCAAATTCATCAAACGAAGACGACTACACGACGTATGCGGTCTACCAGAGGACAGTCACCAAGTATTGGACGTCGAATTGCGAATACTACGCACTTGTCTACGAAGCCAACAAAAC